TGTCTTCCTTGAACCATCCGGCTGAACATGTAGGATGGCCTTTCTCTTCCCTGATTCAGGGAATTAGATCTTAGTTAGGTCGCCGAAGGGCCAGTTCCCATCCTTTGGCTTGGGATGAGGAGTAGGGACACGGTCCTGAACTGGCTTTTTCTTCCCCATGGGAGAAGGCTTTTTAGCTGACTGACCCCTTCTAAAGCCACCAGTCTTCTTGTTTAAGAGGTCCTTGATCTCCCCTTTGAAACTCGTCATGAATTTCATAAGCTCGTCTCTGGTGACGGGAGTGGCACCCTCCGCCGCCTGGGGTTGTCCAGCAGGTATACCAGCTGGATTACTTGGGCCAGCCTTGTCTTTGCACCGTTCCTTTGTTTCCTTGGAACGGGTGCGTCTTGTTTTGAATGACCCGTCAAAGGCCACATAGGTGTCGACCCCAAGGTCGTCACCACTATCTGGGTCCGTTTGGACCTCAACTTTGACCGTAGGCTGCTTGCCTTCGGCAGGCGGTACAGACTCTTTGGATGCCATCTTAGAAGTACTCTCCCTACAAACGGCGCCAAATGTTTCAGGGTTTTCTGTGTCCTTCGGGAAAGTTACAACACTAAGACTGGAATCCGGACGTCTGTACCTACAAAACAACGGAGACTCCGGTTGAGGGAGTTCCGCCTCCGACGATTAAGTTAGAACCGGAGAGGAGTCTGTAATAAATGCGGGTTAGGAATCTTCTCGAATTACGAGATCGGGAGTAAACGATCTGTAATTAATATGCTCAGTTGGGTATTGAATGTGAATGATTTCCAATGGGGAAGCATCTCCCTACTTATAGGGTCTGGAAGTATGTGCCACGTGTCCAGAAGGAATTAATTCTTATGAACACTCTGAAGGTGACACGTGTCACGCATTGATTGGTCCACGTGTCATAGGGTATTTTTACCCTAAACAGGAGTAATGTTATGTATTTGCAAATACATAACAAACATTGAAATATTGTTAAATCACATGAAGAGAAAGAAAGAAATAGAAAGAGAGATAGGAAGAAAAAGATAGATGAGTGAACCCCACATAATTTTTTGTCAGATTGCAATAACGTGATAGGACCACACTTTATTTGTACCACTGATAGCTCATTGCATGTCCAGTGGTATAATATATGCATTTACTTAGTACTATAACGCATATATGTACCACTACATGAATATATAGTACCATTGGATATCCAATGATACTATTTGATCACCCAGTAATACTACTCTAAAATTGAGGATATGCATTTGCTCATGTGTACATGAAATTACTTATATATCCCTTGTTATGTACCAGCAAATGCAGTATTTTACTCCCTTTAAAATGCCTCAATATAATGAATGTAGGTATGAAATCGTAAAATGGCAAGGCTGTGTGATAAAGTTAGTGGTAAGTGATGTGAATTAATGATATGATGAGAGAGAAATTATGGGGAGCCCCCATGAATGTTGATGCTCTTAGATGAAGTGTCAAAAATACCATCAAATTATTCTTATTCTTTGTACATTTTTTTTAGAAACCTCTTATTCTTTACACATCATTAATCCACTTGTTTATTTTAATATTTGTTCTCATTAGAAAAAGCAAAAAAAAGCACACACATTTCCTCTCTCTTCTGATTACCAATTTTGTTTTCCCATGTACTTTTAGTACTTAGCTTCCTCCTTCCCTTTCATAATCCTGTGTTATTTTCCAAATGGGAACTATATTTAGGGATGGATGGAGTAGTATGTACAACCTTGTTAAAGAGACAATCTAACGATCCCTAGAAAATATAACCTTGTTGGAGACATAAAGTGGAACATCGCCCGCTTATATCGCTGGAAAATACAGCCTTGTTGGAGAGACAAGCTAACAATCCCTTGTAGTTGTGAGGATGATTTACATCGGATTCATCTGATCGTATTTGAAACTTTAATAACTTTTGCGACCCCGCACAATTTTTCACCAGCGAAACAACATTACGACAATCCATCAGACCTATTATCCCATATTTGAAGCTAAAGAAATCCCCCCTCGAAAAGAGGAGAAAAACTCTATCTTTCGAAGGATGTCAAAAAAAAAAAAAACACGTCTTTCGAAGGAGATAAAAAAAAAAAACCCTTGTCTTTCAAAGGAGATCCAATATCCTTTTTTTAAGGAGAAATCACTATTATAAACATAAATAACAAACGAACAAGTTTAAGAACAGAGGTTGATAGAACAAAAAAGTTGGAAGCAATTTAACCATAAACCATTACAATCAAAATATATGAGCATAATAACTCACATTGGTTGTGTTTGCTTGCAGCTATAAAATAAAAATGCTACTAACTTCAAGGGAAATAAAATTAAAATTTAAATAGAACTAAATTAAAACGATAATTAAACTAGAGGTAGCTAGTTGAATTGATCCAAACCCTCAATCGACTCTACCTTTCAAGCCTTGACCTAAGTAATGAGCTTCAAATGTAGTACGAACTCTGTTCTTTGGAGTGCTTCGAATGTAGTACTAAACAGGGCCCGGAATGTGAGATACTAATTGTGTGTTCGGAACTCGTCGAATGAGCCCCGTATTTATAGGCTAAAATGGTGGAGGATGCCCGGAATGGTAAAAATAGTGCAGCATCAAAAGCAAATGTACCGCGTTACATTACACTATACCGTGACACGGTACTATGTTTCGTGTTAAGATACATGTACTGTCGTGTTTTACATGCTTTTCTTTCGGCTGTAAACGATTATTGACAAAAAAAAGAAATTATGCGCGATCTATGTACTGTGTCACGACATACGTACCATAGCACGGTACTTGTACCATAGCACAGTATATTCTACCGTGTCACGGCACACGTACCGTAGCACAATACAGTTTATTTTTTAAGAAATTGTTGTATTATTAAATTCATGTCGATTTTCATAATATACTCAATCTTTAGGCGTCGTTTTATCATTCCAGATTGGAATTAAAGCTTATGGTTATGTTTAGGGTTTTAATTTTATGTTTTTGGCTTTATTAAAATTAAGGTAATGGTTTAGTTGAAGGGTTTGGGCTAGGAATAAGAATAGAAAAAGAGTTTGCATGGAAGTTTGGGCTAAAATTGGGTTGGTTTATTGATATGAGTTGGGCTATGGCTGAATTTGTTCATTATCGGGTTTGGATTTGGGGAGACACAATTAGGTGTCTACAAAAGCCCCCACTTTGACTGAGTTTGTAAAAACGTAAGTTTCAAAAACAATAGTCAAAGTAAGTCTATACGGACGGAGAATGATTTAAGACGTTCTAGGTCCTAAATCACTCTTTATATGTTGTTACATGCAGAAAATGTTAGTTCCACTGATAAATGAGTAAAGGAATAGAAATGCGTATCAATCTAACACCTATGTGTCGACACCAAATATATTTGGTAGCTTTCTACGCCTCGAGAAATCTACTAGATGTCGAGTGATAGTCTTCTGCACCTTAGGAATCCTATCATGAACCACTGTGCTTCGAGCGGTTTACTGAATGAAAGGGATAATATTGTTCAATTGTCTCCAAACGGAAGTTGTGGATGATGATGATGGCGCCTTCAAGTTATGTGTATCTGTCTATATAGGCATTGCTCGATACCTTCAAGTCATGTGTGTCTGACTATATAGGTATTGGTGGTGATGATAAATGATGATGGTGGTACCTTTAAGTCATGTGTATCTGACTCTATAGGTGTTGCTCGATACCTTTAAGTCATATTGCATCTAACTGTTTAGGTATTGATGATGATAATGATGATGATGATGACACCTTCAAGTCATGTGTATCTAACTGTATAGCCGTTGCTCGATTTTTCCCCGAACATAGATTGTTTGCTCAATTACCCTCGAATAGAGGCTGAAGATACGATTGCTCGATTGTCCCCGAACAGATTCAGTTTGCTCGATTGTCCCCGAGCAGAGGCTCAAGTTACGAGATTGCTCGAATGAAGCGCACCAATTTAAGCATGTTGTGAATATGCTTGAAAATAATAGGAAGTGGGATTTGACATTATACGATTAGGGACACAAAAGTAGGGAGCCGCCAAAAAGTTTTTAAAAGAACTTATAAACCGTTCACGGATCATTAAAGACAACCACGAAAAGGGGTCAAACGAAAGGCAACAACAATTTGATCCATGAAGGTCAATCCTTTTGTTCGTGAAGGCACCTTGGGCTAGACTATCATTTGTTCGTGAAAATGTACAATCAAGCAAACTCCGAGTGTCTTATATATCAGTTAATGATCAACTGACAAATGCTCTAATAAAACCACACCCTCACACAACATATACTTTTATGGTTCGCAAAATTGGTCTTTCCGCTTGGCTGATTGGTGAGGCATAATAAGGAATAATCAAGTCAAGGTCAATCCTTGATTTGATACTGATGATACTTACACTTTAATTATACTCAATATTCCCCTTAATACTCTCCTTGATTCTAGTAATTTACATTAAGTAATATCCTCAATTATCTTCCCCTTATTCTTTCCTTAATATTAGGATGTATATCTTTTTTATTGTAACCACCGTGTAACCTACGATGGTCAGTGTATATAAGCTTGGTTTGTCTTTAATGAAAATATAACAATTCTTCTTGAATTCTCTATACAAGATCCTGATCAACGGTGAACCCTTCAGGAAGATCTCTCTTAAAGCGGGACTAAGGCAAGGGGACCCCCTCTCTCCCTACCTTTTTATTTTGTGCATGGAGGTTCTTTCAAGAATGATCATAGCAATGCAAGCTTCCGAAGACCTCAAAGGAATTAAAATCACAAGGCCTGCTCCTCCCATCATCCATCTATTTTTTTGTCGACAACGTCCTCTTCTTTCTCGTAGAGAGCCAGGGCCATGGTAATGATTTTGTGGGCCCAGTTCCACATCGAAAAAAGGGCCCTTAATACTGTAAAAATTATACAATTTTTTTTTTATCTATAATTTACGCAACGCACAATTTTCCTATATATACATTACAAAATGAAAATGATATAGTATAACAATAATACTATCTCCGTTAATTATTATGTGCAACAACGGATTATTTTATGTCTCACAAATAATACCCTTTGTTGCACATAATAATTAACTGAGGTAGTATATTCAATTACGCAAAATCAAATTCGGATATTTTATTCATGTTGATAATAGCAACTAAATACAACTCAAAGGTTATATCAACTCAACTTATGTTAACTTCTGTTTATTTAAAAAGTGATATTCTTCTAACACTCTTTGAGGCAAAATCATCAATCAAGTCTTCATATTTCACTTTCTCTGGAAGGTCATTCTCAATTGCTATTATCGTAAATCCAACAAGTCTTTCTTTAGCATTGTAGAACGAAAATATGACTTCAATAGCTTCAACTTTGAAAAACTTTATTCTGCAGTTGCAACTGTCACAGGAATAATTAACAAAATTCCATATGCAATAGTTACATTAGGAAAACAATCCACATATTCCAAAAACCTCAAAATATTAATAGCTCCTTTTATGTCATAACGCAAAATTTCTTTAAGCAGCTTCAACTCCACACATAATTCACTCCCATCAATATCTTATTGTTAATTAGACATAAGTGCATTTAATTTTCAAATTCCAAACAAGAGGATTCCAAACTTAAATCATCCAATGACATCAACTTTTGAGGAGTAAATAAGAAACCAAAAATACTTTCATATTCCTCAAATTGCTCAATCTTTTGTAAATAGAACTAATAGCTTGATTTACAATCTAAGCTTGATTTACAATGTAAAGAAAGTAATCAAATCTAAATGATTCTTCTAGAGATAGAGGAACATTTGATGAAGAACCTGGATTTAGATTTGATTACTTTCTTTACATTGTTGATCAAGCTATTAGTTCTCGTTATAAAACATTGAGCAATTTGAGGAATATGAAAGTATTTTTGGTTTCTTATTTACTCCTCAAAAGTTGATGTCATTGGATGATTTAGGTTTGGAATCCTCTTGTTTGAAATTTAAATGCATTTTCATCAAAATGTTTTTTTCTTCGAATTTCACGCTTTTAGGGAAATATAGGATCAATATCCATTTCAATAGCAATTTCTTTAGCACTATTCAAAGCATCATTAATACCAGTTTCTCTATACCCCTCAAAAAAAAAAAAAAAAAAAAAAAAAGAAAAATCAACCCTCTTATTTTTTTAATAGCCACATCAATAAGCATATCTTTTGATTTTAATAGCTTGCTTACCAATTTAATTGCACATAATATTTCAGACCAAATTACTATTGTAATTAAAAACTCAAAATCACCAAGCTCATTATTTGCTAAGGATTTAGCCTCACTTTTTATATTGTAATCCTTATCATTATTATCGGCCACTTGAAGTAAACCTTCTCATATATCTGACATTTGAAATCTAATACCCTTAACACATTCAACACGACTTTCCCAACGAGTAGATGACAAAGACTTAACTGTTAGTCCTTTTATATTGTCTTTCAAGAATTGCCGCCTCTTAGTAGAAGCTGCAAAAATTGTATATATACGTTGGTTGACTCCAAAAAAGTCTTTATCTTTTCTACATGTGTTAGCCATATTACATATTGTCAAGTTTAAACTATGACAACCACAAGGAGTATAATTATAAAAAGCGTTAGAATATAAATCCAAAAATTTCTTTTGAACTCCTTGATGTTTTCCTTTCATATTAAGGCCATTATCATAACCTTGTCCTCGCACATCCATTATATCAAGATCAAGATTTTCAATTCATTTAGTAAAACATCAAAAAGCCCTTGGCCAGTTGTATTATTTACATTAAAAATCCTAAGAAAGATTCCTCAATGCAAATATGCAGAGACATTCACATATCTTAGTATCAATGACATTTGCTCTTGATGGCTAACATCGGGAGTACAATCAAGAATTATCAAGAAATATTTTGATTGCTTTATCTTTCTAATGATTTCATTTTTTATTGCAGAACCAAGCAAAAGTATCAACTCGTTTTGAATTGTATAACCTAAAAAATGAAATTGAATATTATTATTAGTAATACGCTTGACATGTTCTTGAATAATTGAGTCAAACTCGGCCAACATTTCAATCAAGCCCAAGAAATTACCATTACTTTTTTGGTATAGTTTCCTATTGAACCAAGAAAGGCTAGATTATGCTGAGCAAGAAATTTGACAATTAAAACAATTCTTTGCAACACTTTCTTCCAATGGTCTTTTTCTTTTTCATTCAATTAGCATTTGAGTCGTCTTATCAATAGTTTGATTCTCTTGAAACCTAAGATGCAACTCATACCAAGTAGTCATATCCTTAACATGATCTATGTTTGTCTCATGTTCTTTTAACCTTAAGTATATATGTCTCCAATCAACAAAACTTTCATTTGTTAATTGCCCTTTACCAATCCCTTTTAATTAAAGACTTTACAGCAAAAACAAAAGACTCTATCAAGCTCTTTAGAAACAAGTCAACCCCTATCATAGTTCTCACCATTTGACAACACTTTAATATACAAATTAGCAGTAAATCGTCTTGAAAATTTATCTTTAGGACCTTTCACAATATTAAAATTGAACATTTTGGAATCTAAACCATCCCAAACTCTTGGATCATATATATCAAGCAAATGAATAGGGATGTCATCAAAATTATCATCACTGTCATCAACATTAGTGTTATCATTTTCATTAACATCCGACACATCATCATTACAATCAATAGGCACATCACCACTAACATTAACATTTTTACTTGGCCGTTCATCAGCACAATCAATAGTCATATCATCAAAATTATCATCCGACACATTAAATATCAATTTTAGCATCAAGGCCACCAATACTATCATTTTCAACATTTACACCCACATTATTTGGATTGACAGTAGAAACTTGTGGCTCTTTTACAATAAACTTATCAACGGCCCCTCTTTGAGACTCAATGAACTCTTCAGGTTTTTCTTTTTATTACGCTTATCATATCCGTAAACATATTTTCTAATCTTAAGAGCCATAATTGCAAATTATAGCTAATAAAAAGTAAATAATATAAACATGTACCTTAAGGCCAAAAAAAGATTGAATAAACCTGGGATTCAAAACTATCGGAAGGCGACAACTTTGAACAATATAAAAAGAAAATCCATCCTCAAAGTGCCATCATAAATCCTTTCATAATTCAACCTTAAAAAATAGAAGAAAAAAAAATAGTAAATGTTAGAATAATAGAACATACGACATGCAGCAAAGTAAAAAGGAATTAAATTAATCAAAGTTTCCCAAAAAAATAATGAAAAAAATACGTACTTACAGATTGCAGCAAGAATGCAGTCTTGAAGATTTGCAGTAGAGATGAAACCAATTTAAGAGTAGTATTGTTTTACCCCAAATTTCCAATGTCGGCAACATGTAATTGAATAATATTTTTTTTTGATACAAAATATCAAAAATTTCGGATGATATAAATAGGGGGAAGATGGGAGAGATTCAATCGTTACTCCAAATTTTCTTGAGATATTGATAATTGAATTATAATTCCCGTTGCTTAGATAGATTGATCTAAACATGGGGAAAACAATTTGAATTCCCATAACTAATTGAAGTTTCATGGAAAAGAGGGGAAATTAATTAAATTGCTTGATAAAAATTAAATTTGGTTTAGAGTCAAATTTAGGGAAGAACAAGAAAAATTATAGGACTAATAGGGGAAAGATAATCTGGACTTTTAAGAGATAAATTGGGACAAATGAGCGTGAGAAACAAAGTTGAATGAATAGCATATTAAAAGGATGAGAGAGAAAGTATTAAAGCCATTAAAACCTAATAAAAAAAACGGTTATATCACCTTACAATTTATTAATTGAATTGATTTAAAAAATTTAGGCCATTACAATTGTTTGGGCTTTTATTTTTGGGGCCCTGTGCAAGGGTATACCTTTCACACTGTAGAGAGCATTCAAAATTTGAGGGGTGAAGGAGTATTCTCAACAGCGTCAATCTTATGAAAGAGAGTCTAAGGAAATTCATTAATAATGGGAAATCGACATCCATCGAGAGTGATCGCTGGCTCGACATAGGTTTAGCTTTATGTAGAGCATTCCAAGTGAGGACAACAACAAACCAATTAAGAATGGTGGCTGACCTTATTGACCAACATGGTTCGTGGAGGACTAGCTTAATTTGGAAGTGGTTCAATGGCATACAATATGACCAAAGAAATCTAGGCAATACATCTTTCTAAGGATGATTTTGATGATACATGGGATTGGGAGGTCCTTCTCTAGCAGGGCACTATAAGGTAAAGGCAGGGTATTGGTTAGCCTTATATAAGGAATTTCTAGACATGGGAAAGGATAATTTTTGGAAGAAATGGTAGAACACATCCTTATGGACAAAGCATAAAACTTTCAGTTGGAAAATACTTAATTGTATGCTGCCTATAGGTGATAACATGAAGAGAAGAAAAATTGAAGTTCTTGGCATATGTCACTTTTGTAAAATAAACGATGAAACTCCTAATCATCTCTTCAAGAGCTACAAAGTCTTAAGAATTAAGGATCTAGAGATGCAACAACCTAGGCATCAACACTAAAGGGAATGACATATCTCTCTAAAATCATGGGTTAAAAACTTCCTAATGTATTTTATCAATGTTGATGCAAACAATGAAGATTGTACATATGTATGTTAATATATTGAGGATTATATGGCTGAGTAAAAACAACATTACTTTCAATAAGGCTAAGCTTGCTCCCATTGGGATCATCACCCAAGCTCAACATTGGCAATCATGTTGGGAAGGAGGTAAAAAATTCAGAGCCAAGATGAAACGTGTGACTACCAGTGTTTCGGGGTTTTCTGATATCCTGCGGGAGAGTTACAATTCCGAGACTGAAACTGGACGCCTGTACCTGCAAAACAAACGGATGCTCCGGATGATTGGAGATCCGCCTCCAACGGTCAAGTTAGTACTTGATTAAGGAGTAATTAAGGCGGAAATAAATGTAATTTGGTCTCTCTAGGTGAGAGTGTGTAATGTGTGTCCTCCCCTTTAATGAGGATTAATGGGCATATTTATATGCATTGGGATGCGTGCCAGTACTAGGTTTAGGTTAAACCTAAGGCTGACTGGGCTTCCCACCAAGATTAGGCCTTGTGGGCTGATTTACCTATTTGGCATGATGGACAAGTGTCACATCACAATTGGTCCATGGAGGACGTATCTCATGATGACACGTGGCAGGCTCCTATTGGCCTACGTGAAGGACACGTGGCGAAACCTGACTGGTCCACGTGTCGGATGCTGATTGGTGGATAAAAATCCCCTAATCATTTGCCCCTCACAGGTGGCACGCGACTGGTCACGTGTTACCTGTGACAGGTGTCGCACCGTAACAGGCGGTGGCCTGCTACAGGTGTTACTCAGCGAAAGGCCGAGAAATTTTCCCGCCCAAATTTTGAAGTTGGAAGTGACCCTTCGCCTTCTCATTTTGCCTATATAAGGGTGTGTTGACTTCGGTCATTTTCACACTTGAGAACTTTTTGAAGAGAACATTCGGACCCTTGAACTTGCTCTGACATTTCGGACTCTTTCTGACTACCGCCTGCTCTGACAAGCCGGCTACTCAGAATTTCCAGAACCTCGTCAACTTCACTTGTTCAGGTAACCGTCGGTTCTCTTACTCTTGATTTTTTTATCTTTTTCTTTTTGAAATGGCACCACGGAAGCACACGACACGACCTAGATTAGTGACCAGCCGGTCACCGGGGACGGCTGAATCTAGGACTAGGAGTGTCGCCTGCCCTTTTCCGAACCAATCTTTTCCCTTTATGCAAAGTCCGACTGTCTTTGTGTCTATGCAGAACATAATGGCCAGAACAAAAAGGACTGTTATGATCTCGAACTCAGACGGCTCCTCCCACCGGGTGCCGATTAGTGAAACATCTGACCAGGCGCCAGATGCTGAAGTTAACCAAGGTGGCTTAACCGCCGACAGCTCTGAGGGAGGGATCAAGGTGGTCCCTTCCCATTTTACAGTTGACATGTCTACATTCTCTCATACTCCTATTGAAGGAGAGGAGGCGGGTCCCTCTGGGAGAGGGGAGGAGTCGTCCTCTTCGGGCTCGTTAGAGGACAAGTCCGAGTCTAGCTCTTCTGGTCATACTTCTCTAGACACAGAGGAGAAAAACAACCGCCTTCAAGAGGCGAGGCTTTCTCACGCAGTTGAGAAGGGGGACAATTGGGCGGAGCCATCCGCCTCTTACCGAGAGCAAAATACCCCTTACTACTGCACTGTCCCTCAGGGCCGGATCAAGGCCATGCAAGAGAGAGTGGGGAGCTTTATTGCGAACCACACAATGGGCCCCGGCTTTTTAGTTTTTGTGCCGGATCCAGAAGACACAGTCGTCTGGCCGGCTGGTACTAGTTATGATAGCGCCTGCTTTGGCTGCTACGAGGCGGCCATCAAGGCTGGGCTGCGCTTCCCACTACATCCGGCTGTGCAGCGGATCTTGGATGGGTATGAGTTGGGGTTATGGCAGTTAGCCCTAAACTCCTGGTTCAACGTTCTCGGCTATGTGGCCGGGTGCGAACTGCACGGGGTGGAGCCAAACTTCGAGGCTTTCGCCCATATGAACTACCTCAGCCGGACCCCTAAGGCAGGCGGTACCGGCTGGTATCAACTGACAAGCCACCGCGGCTACCTCATGACAAGAGGTAAAGAAAATAAGTGGAAGGATTGGCGAAGCACCTTCCTTATCATTGAAAGTTCAGACACAGAGCTGAACAAGCGCTTCAACAGGTGGAACAGGGATCCGCCTCTTCTGGCAGGCGGCCGCAGCATGCCGCCTGTTCCCCCCAAAGCCAAGAAAGAGATCCTGGATAAAGGACTCTTCAAAGTAGAGTCGAGGGTCGACTCTACTACAGGGGTGCAAGAGCAAGTACCCCTGCACTGCGTCCCGAGCTTTAAATGGCTCTATGACGAGTACTTTTTGGCTGCCTGTGGCCTCAGCAGACGGTGCTCAAGAGGTAGCCGGCCTGTCGAATACTCTCTTTTGCCTTGCATTACTGTTATTTTTGTTGTTAACCTTGGTATTTGTTCTTGCAGAGGACGCCATGAGCAAAATTACCGCCTCAAAGACTGCGGCTGCTATGTTGCGTGCTTCCATCATGCAACAGTCCTCTGCCGACTCCCCTAACAAGGAGGCGCCCTTGGTAAGTTCCAAGCCTCACTCCTTTTTAAAGTTAAGAGTTTATGTAGATACTGACCATGCGTCCTGTTGTATGTTTTTTTTTTAGACGGGCACTCCAAGAACCTCTTCTTCCCAACAGCCGGACTCCAAGACCTAGAGGACGACTGTTGCGAGCTCTCCTGGTACTGCCAGGAAACATGCGGCGGCTGAGAAACAGCCAGCCACCCCCTCTCAAACTCCAATCAGGCCGCCTAGAAGTATGGAACTATTCTTGCAAATTCAGACTTTCTTTCCTTTTGCTAGGTCTAACATGCTCGTTTATGCTTAATGTAGCCGGCCCTCAGGAGCCGGACTTGGTCGAGGTGGCCAAGTCCATGATTAAAGCCGTCCCTCCAGCTGAGAGGGAGGCGGTCAGGGGTATCGGCACCCTTGACCTAGACGGGATCGCAGGGGTCCTTGCTGAGATATACTTGGCATATTTGTCATTTAAATTCTAGGACGCCTGTTTTTTGTTTAAAACTGACGCATGTTCCCTTTTTCTTAGGCACTGATCCGTGTGAACGGCCTTCGCAAGCCGCTTAATAGGAAGAACAAAGTGGTAAAGGCTGCTAAAGCTATGGCCGCCTCTGACTGTGATAAGGCAATGTTTCAAATTGCCCAAAATGAGATTTTGACAACTGATATTCTTTATTATCAGGCGCAGGCTACTTCTGCTATCCGGGCTCAGTTGGAGGCGGCCCAGAAGAAGAATAGTGATCTGGAGGCGACCATCAACAATCTCAAGGCCGAGCTGAGGCCTCTTCGCCAAAAAGAGAGCTCATTCGACTCCTTGGAGAAATCCTTGGCGAGCGTTAAGGAACGCCTGGCGACTCAGGAGAAGAGCCTCACCGAAGAGCTCTCGGCTAAGGCCGAACAGGAAAAGAAGGAGCTGGTCCGAGAGATGATGGAAGACTCTGCTCAGATCCAGCGCCTGACCTGGGGCCGCCTCTTCCCCAATGCCGACTTTGCCTCGTGAGAAAAAACGTACCGCTAGTGTTCTGATAGATATAATCAAGAGATCCTGGCGGCTGCTGAGGACGAGGCATTTGAGGTGGAGGAGCCGGTTGTGGCGATTGTGCCGCTTGGGGTGGATGCATCGAAGAAGGATGCAGCTGAAGCCGTGTCCAGCAAAAAGAATGCTGACCAGGCGGCTGCTACTTTTATTGAAGATCTGCCCCCTTCTTAAGCTTTGTCTTCTTTCTACGGCCTGCGTGCCGTTTGTTTCTGTTTGAATATTTTTCCGATCTTATTGACCGGCTTCTTTTTGTATCTTTTACCCGGCCAAGGGGCCGGGGTTATGAATATTTGTGCCGGTCTTTATGGCCGGCTGTTAATATAACTCAGGCGACCATTATTTTAGGTCGCCTTTTTGCCAAAGTGTTTCGAATTTATGCTTTTTATTTTGCTAAGTATCGAAACATTGATATCCAATTGCATACTATACCAACTGTTTTGCATGGCCGATAGTTTCAGACTGGTACGAGGTAGTCACGCCGCCTATGCCCCTGGACGACTGGTTGTCTGTTTCCAGGCTAGGCAATCAGTCGGCCATTTATCCAATCGGTATTTGACTCATTTTAAAGACTGGATCCCCTTTAGGTAGGGGGTCCTGTCATTTGTAATTTTAACCAAGTAGGAAAGTGGTTTCCTACCTGCCATGTTTTTAGGCTAACGACTCTAGGCGGTCTA